CCGGCTTCGGCTGGACACAAGAAACGGTGGTCCACCAGGCCTTTTGGCCAGGAGGACCAAATGGGAACCTTGTCCCTGTCAGGAGCTTCGTGCCCCGGGGGATCAGGGTAGTGGTCCAGCCCCTTTAGGGGTAGGACAAAAGCACACCCCTAAGTGCACTTTTTCGTGTGGTGTTCGCACTTGCACTTTTTTTGTGATCACTTATGGGTTTTTCGTTGTAGTTTGCACGTTTGCGGACTTAAAAAAAAAAAAAAATAGCCAGGGGCGGACTGACAACTCATGGGGCCCCTGGGCAATAGGGGATCATGGGGCCCCTGTGTCCTTGCCCAAACCCAAAAAAGCCTATGAAAAAGGTACCAGGGGCATCTCATGGGGCCTCCTACTGACCCCGGGCCCTCGGGCAGTGCCTGAGTTTCCAAATGGTCAGTCCACCCCTGGTAATAGCACTGCTTACAGGACTGGGCAGTGGTATCTTTCTGCCTTGGTTGGGGGCCTCACCTGGGCCATCAAAACAGGTTCCTTTAATTTTTTTTTTCTTATTCAGTAAATATATAGATTGAAAACACATGCATGCGTTGCATCATCTACTGTTACAATAGTCTCCATTCTGAGAGCAAAAAAAAAAAACTGTTTTTTATAGATAAATTTTTTTCTGCATATTAAGTTTCTATATTCCTAAAATATGCAATATATGAAATATTTTTAGGTGAATAAAAAGTTCTCATTTTTTTTCTATATTTGAAATGCCATGCTTTTGTTAGTGCTATGTAAAAATCTTAGTGCTATGTAAAAATCTTACATACAGAGACATATGAAATATTTCATGTCTCTGTATGTAAGATTTTTACATAGCACTAAGATTTTTACATAGCACTAACAAAAGCATGGCATTTCAAATATAGAAAAAATGAGAACTTTTTATTAAAAATATGTATTGCATATTTTACGAATATAAATAAGTGCAGAGAAAAAATAGATCTATAATTTAAAAAATAACCATATAATGTGTTATATTCTGTTAATCCATGTTCACCTAAGGCTGAAATATTTCATATATCTCTGTATGTAAGATTTTTACATAGCACTAACAAAAGCATGGCATTTCAAATATAGAAAAAATAAGAACTTTGATTATATTTTGTGTGTTCTGGCATGTCAGTAGTAATTTTGTGTCTTGTAGATGAGACCTGTTCAAATCTTCTTTCTGTTTTTCCTCCTTTATTTAATCCGGATCAAAAACTGAGAGAAAATTCCTAATACATAATGACCAGCCAGACGCTGAGTGTTTTTTCTTCATTCTATTAATTAGTCCTCCCACATGAAAGAGGATTATGGAACGTTGTCATATAGAAGCTAACTTTAAGGACATATGACATTGCAGAGGGCGCACTGTGGAAAGAAATGCCTATAAAGAACATCATGGCCGAATCACAAAGTTTTAAGTTTTTATACGAAATATCACGAGTCACTTCAGCATGACAAGAGAAAGCTTTATTACGGTCATGCAGTTCTGCTTCAGTACTTGAAATATGTCTTTGATTATTTAAAAGGAACAGTAAGAGTGAGTGGATTAGCTTTGCTTTGCTTCATCTATCTCTTAAAATATTCCCACAGTACAAATGACCTGCTTCCATTTTCATAATGTTCAGAGCTCAAATAATAATAAGGGGAAAGCATCCTTTCATCTTTTAAGTAATATGACACAATACATTGTGTCGATAAATCTTATGGCATATTTTAAAAGGCAAATTTGCTTTAGGGAATACAGCAGCACCCATTGGTGCTGTTAAGATCCACCAGCTTCTAGTAAGTAGGAATATGTAATCTTCTTTGGGTGAGAAGTGAAGAGGACCGCAAGACATTTCATGTTCAAATATTGCAGTTCTGTTTTAAAAGAAAATGAAAATGACATGCTAACTTTGTGCCCCAGTGATTATGGTCACCAGGCCAGACAGAACGGGTGAATCTTCCTTCTCACATGTAACCCACGTACGGGCGGCTAAGTGACCATGGAATTGAGCAGCACCTCACTCTGCCTCAGACAAAAGATCTCAGGCCGCTGCGGCCACTTCATTCTATCTAAGGCAAGTCATCGATGATTTGATTTGCAGCCCATGGGTAAATGCATCCCATAGAGCTATTGTGTTCTGCCAGCAGGGAGCCTTTCCAGTTGGTAGAACACAATGATTACGACAAGCGGCTATAGCCACCAGCATTGTAAAAAATCCAACAGGCTGGTTGTATCCAAGTCAATGGATGAATCGACTTCAGTACAACCTGCCTCCCCATAGATGGATTGAATCTTGGCCGGACCCTGCTGAACCAGCTGAGATTTGATCAATCTATTGCCAGTTTAAGGGTGAATTCAAACTGGAGAGCTTATCACTCGGACAGCTGTCCATTCCCGACTGCGCTAGGGGGCAGTGTGGTGTGCAATTCAGAGCATCACACAGCTCCCTTTTTTTTGTACAAACTTTATTTGAAATGTACTGAAGTACACTCCATTCATGTCAAGCTTCTCTGCTGTGCAGTGCCTTACAGTTCTGTAGTATGCTGCATTTAATTACTGCTCTGGGCTGCATTGCAGTGTGAATGGGACGCACAGAAAACAATTGTTTTCTGTGTCCCTGCAGTTACAGGCATTTTACGATGCAGGAAAATGCCAGTCATTTTACTGTATGTGTGAATTTGCCATAAAGAAATAAAAAAAAAAAACAAAAAACTTTAGATTCACTTTAAAGCCCAACTGTTTGTTATATTAGCATGTCAAAGGGTTACAGTCTGTATTCATACGTGTGTATTAGGAATAAAATCAACAGAAAGAAATACTGCTCTACAGAATCTATATGTTATTAGTTGGCATGAAATGCCTAAAAGGCTTTTCTACTTTTTTTTACTTTCCTTCTTGCTGCATAGAAACAATTGTCCCTATTGGAAAACTTCACCTCTGTTCCTGGTCTACTGACAACTCAAAATGGTTGATTTCCCCTCTCTCTCTTTGTCCCAGTGACAATGGTCACCAGGCCAAATGAGGAGGATTAAAGTGGTGTTAAAGCCTAAACATTTTTTACCTTAATGCATTCCCTGCGTTAAGGTAAAGAACTGTTTGAGTGTGTGTATTGCCCCCTCTGTCCTAGGATACTTACCCAAGTTCTCACTCGATCCATTGTAGTGCCCATCTGCAGCAACTCACTCTCAGATGAGGTGGTGAGGTCAAGCCTCGCTGTCTATGTCTACAGACACAGGCAGCACAGCTCAGGAGTGAGCCTGCAGGTGTGCCACAATAGGAAGCAGGTGCCTATGGTAGCACACTGAGGGAGGAGCCAGGTGCTCCGGCGGGGCGCCACAGCAAAGGAAGATCAGGGCTGTTCTGTGCAATACCATTGCACAGAACAAGGTAAGTATGACATGTTTATTATTTTAAAAGAAAAAAAAACATTTTGAATTTACAAATGCTTTAACCTCCCCAATTGGAACACGGCACCAATAAAAACCTGGCATCTAATCATTATTGTTCTATTCATACCAAAAAAATGGCTTTGGATACAGAATAAATATACAGTATCACAAATAGAGAAGACCGAACTAATCTGCTATGGTTTGACCTGGCTCATGCCAGTCAACTTGAAGTGAAGATTTGCAAATTTTTGGTGAGGGGTGTAGTGCTCAACTGCAATACTTCCATACCATATTATATTAGGTGACATCTAGAGAGCTTTCACATGTTGACATGCAGGTGTCCCAGCTTCTCCTGAGAGCACAGAAGCACATGTTAGCTAATACCAATCAGCAGAGAGATCTCTGTGACACACTTTACTTAAAGACTTTATTAAGTCTTTGATTGGCATACTCATCATCACTGCCATGATCAGAACTCAGCCAAACAGCAGTCCCTCTTGCATTCTTTATTTTAACCCCTTTTTAGCTGCAAAGTTGCTGGCAAATATTTGATGTGCTAATTAACTGTTAGTGCTGGAGAAACGAATACTGTATATCACCTTTCCTGATTTCTTTGTGGTTTATGATTATAAGGTCATTAATACAGCTAATTTTCGGCAGGATCAGATTTGGAGTCTCTTTGTTTGAGCGGTCATAGTAGGAATGGTGAGGAAATTAGAAGTAACTGGGACATAGGTATAAGATATGGGATAGCCTTCTGCTTTCATCAATGACTTTTACAACAGTCCTCTTAGATTCCTAGCATAATGAAAGGGGATAGGAGTGTGTTTGAGTATCTGAGCTTCTGTCTGAATGAGACCCAGACAAATTAGTATTATGTATATTCTTATTAATGCCTTCGCCAAACTGGATCTGTGCAGGCTGCCTGCCTAAATTCAAGTAGCCCAAGGGTGCAAGAAGCTGCTGGTACTCAAGCAGCCGTCATGAGGTTCTTGAGTTACAGCCAGGTCACACAGTGTCAACTTTGTCTGCACTCGGTATTTGAGGTATCCAAATAGGCATAGACATAAGATGGCAATCAGACATCTGAATACTAGTCATTTTATCAGATGATACGTGTAGATGTGTGTAGCTTTAGATTTTCTAAGCATAGGCATATGGACTAAGCAGATCCCTTAAGCTTGAACCATCTTTTAGTATTGGAGAAGTAATCAATCGCATACAATTGAAGCGCTGTGCATTCATGTGATATTAAGAGCTACTGCATCCTGCTTATGTAGTTTATACAAGAGGAAGCCATTTGTTCCATCTTCTTAGTGATTAATCACTAGCAATTAATCGGTAGCAATTTTAAAGGTGTGATTGATCTATAAATTGCCCATGAATTCATGTACGTAGTTGAACTAACGACTTTAGAAAAAAATAAAACAATAGCAGCTCAAAAAGAAAAAAAATGGCCCACTACTCTATGTTTTCTCTATACTACTACATCTCTTTAAGGCAATTTCATCCATTTTTAATGTAAATGCTTAATTCAAAATGTTTGTGTCTTTATTGTATAATTTTATTGTAATGTCTCTTTTCTTGTACAGGATTACAGGATGTTATCGCATTGGTACACAATATTGGTTCTATTACCAGTTTGTTTAAAGTCCCAGAAACTGCCCACTAGAGATGAAGAATTGTTCCAAATGCAGATTAAAGAGAAATCAGTTTTCCACGATTCATCCATAGTACCTGATGGAGCAGAGATTGGTGGCTACCTGTTCAGAGACAATCCTAAAAGGTATTTTATATGTGAATATGTGCAAACAAAAATAAAAAATAAGGATCTATGGGTGTCTACATATACAGTACACGTGTGGGTTTCTGTTACGCAGTAGCTTATTGCAAGGTTCCAAGCTTTTTCTAAGGGCTTGTACACAATCACTCAATTTTAATGAGCATTCCTGATCACTGGTAAACACCCAAAATCATGGGTGTAACAGTGTCCACTGAGCAGTTGGCTCAGTACATAATGTCTTGTTTGTCAAGCTTTGAATCACTTCCCAACAAATACTGTATTTGACAATCATGCTGCACCACTCGATTGACTTTAACTCACATTGATTGCTCCATTAGGAAAGCATACTGAAGATAGGAAAGCACAATTCAAGGACAACCACTGGGTGCTCTGCCTCTGCATCCAGCTCCCGTGGAGACTTATCCTAAGCAATGTATTGGACTTAACTCCTTTCTCAAGTTCATGTCAGTGTGGTTAACTGTTTTTTGTATGGGACTGGCTGATGTGTTCTTCTTGAAATTGTAGACATGACCCTCTCATAAACTTAGGCTACAATTTAAAGAGCGTGTATTTTAGTTTAACCCCAGGAACTTTATTTTGTGAGTTCTGCATTGTAAATATTGTGATTAACACATCAAATGTTAATATTTCCGTTCCAGGTACTTCTTTGTAGTAGAAGAAGATAATACACCTCTGTCTGTTATTGTTACACCCTGTGATGCCCCTCTGGAATGGAAACTGACTTTACAGGAACTTCCTGAGGAAGCCAGTGGGGAAGGATCAGGTAATAATGTAGTCCTATATATTGAACCATATTCTATATTTTATGCAATGTATAAAGATGACAGAAGCCTGGCCCTTTTGAAAGTTAAGTCTATTGTTAATGACCACTACTAGTAGGGTTAATCTAAAGTACCAGTTGTACTATAATAATTGATATATATTAGGAACTGCCGATTGGGATTTTTTTTATATTGGTTTATAAATACACTTTAAATCATTGTTAGTTTACTTATTAGTTTACTTTATTGCCTGGGTTTCAACTGACAGAGAGGAGTCACCTACACCTTACAACGTCTCGTCATTTAATGAGGGGCAGGTTGGTGGTACCTCCTGAAGAAAGGTGAATTTATTCTGATGCTTCCTGGATATTTTACATATGAATTATATCTGCATCAGTACAATTTTCTGTGCTTAAAATGTTCTTCTAATTTGACAGTTCCATAACAGTGGTCACTTACTGGTGAAGAAATTAAATAATTTCTTAAAGACAAAGATTGTGATGCTAAGCAATTTAGGGTCCATTACACAAAAAGTGGTGCCAAAGTATGCTATAGATTCACTCCTGGTAACCTTATAGCAGAAGTATTTAGAAAATAGGTTATGGGAGCACATTTGTGTGTCCTGAAATTATATCATACTGTCTGCAAATTTTATAGACTCTTACTTGAATTGCAGTTGCACTTTCTTGTGCAAACTTCAATTTGCCCCTTCTTGTTATGGGGTAAAAAAAGCTGAAAAAATATTTTTTTTTACTGCAGGTGAAACTAAGCCAGAAATAAGCTGTCCAGCATTCACACAAACTCCTTGATTTGCAATACCTGCATAACAATGTAGATATCTTTCTGGAGTGGAAAGCACTGAAAAACTATGGTGCTTTACAAAATTAGGAGGAGAATTAGATGTTAAAACTGGGAAGGAGAGATAGAATAAAGTGTCAGGCAAGAAACAGAAACAGGGTATCTGACAATGCTGTTGTATCATTCTTAACCAATTGACCTTCGGAAGATTAAACTCCCTCCCCCTCATGACCAGACCATTTTTTGCTTTTTGCCACTGCATTATTTAACTGGCAATTGCATGGTCATGCAATGCTGTACACAAATAAAATTTATATATATTTTTTTTCACACAAATAGAGCTTTCTTTTGGTGGTAATTGGTCACCACTGGGTTTTTTTTTTATTTTTTACGCTATAAATGAAAAAAGACCAAAAATTAACAAAAAATAATATTGTTTACTTTCTGCCATAAAACATATCCAATAAAAAAGTACTCCTAGACTAAAAGTACTCATAGACATGTCTATATAATTTGTTTTAAAGCCTTTAAAACATTATATTATGAGGGACATCCTAAGCCATCTAGTCAGGCAGGCTCCTGCACTACAAAGTGGTTGACAGAGCCTAAATGTTTGGTAATCAGCATGAACAGCTTTATACTTTTTCACTTCACTTCACTTACCATATTTCTGTTCTGAAATGTTTATTTTAAACAGTTGTAACCTGTTTTTTTTTTTGAAAAAGAACAAGGTTTGTATTATGCCAAATGGCTAACTAGTCACTAAACACTTAATGATACATTTAATTCATATTTTTTCCTTTTTTTTATACACTCAAAATCAGCAGTAAGCTGTCCAGTACAAACTACTTTTTTAATTATTCACAACATTCTAAGTTACTTGAGACCAAGCAACATGATATGGTAGAGTTGACCCCCTAAAGTGCATAGTTTGGGTTTATATGATATAAATAGCCACATTACAGTTTATAAAAAAAAAACATGGTATAATAAGGTTGATAAACTCTATCAACCTTATTATGCCATGCTTTTATTTTTTCAATAAAGTTACTTGTGGTTTGCTTTATACACTATTCACTTTGGAGACGATTTTAACTGACTTTTACCTTCTGGTTAAGTGTGTTCAAGTAGACATTTATTTGCTGAAAAAGAAGCCTTGTATACACAGGATGCTATCCAGGGGACTAGAAGACAAAAGTGCTCCAGGCCACTCCATGTTTTAACAGATGAGGGTCAGCACTGAGAGAAGGGAATGTGTTTTCTTTTTGTTGCAGTTAGTGAAATCAGCTGTGCATTGTGTTGTTGTAAATATCACCCCTATGGCTATGGGGTGACTTGACTGGTCCCACTGGAGTGCAATAGAAACATTTAGCAGGTTTTTAATTAGGAGTTTAGGAATCTGGTATTATCTTGCAGGGGAAATTATTTCTGCCCATCATACAACACAGTGTTTGCACATGTATGCTGTATGTGTTAGCAATAAATTTTGGCCTTATGGCTAGCAACAGGTCTCAAATATTGGTGTCAGCTTAACACCTTGGCGCCGGTGCTTTTCGGCCCTTTAAGGGTTTCAGAAGTCGGGAGGGGGCGGGGCTTTAGGGTCATGTGACTGCTGTGATTTGCTGTCACGGCGATCACATGATCGGGAAAGGTCCCAATCGCAAGAGGAGATCGGGACCTTTCTGTGAGTACCAGACATGTGTGCTGGGAGCGCGCGCGCACGCGCTCTCAGCACCTTTTTTTTTTTTTTTTATTGCACGCAAATTTGATGCAGCCCGGCTTCAAGGCCCAGACACCGGGAGGCTGCACATTTGCGTGTGGCCGGTGCCAAGAGGTTAAACAGAGTACACCATTAAAATATACACTTAAGTTATAACCATTTTCACAATTTTACAAGTTAGACAGTGTAAAGAATATGAAAGTGAGAACCAGCTTTTATATACCAATATTTTTATTAAAAGATTGCAGAAGTACAAATAGAACAATCAAACCAACAGCTTTGCACACAAAAAGAACAATGGAACAGGAAGTCAGGTGTCTAGTCAAAGAGAAGCCCAGAAATACCTGTGTACATAAACAATCAGGCAAGTGCTATAGGCTCAGATATAAATCTTATAAATATTAAGAACGCTAATAATCAACAGCAGGTAAGAGCTTTTAAACAATATTAGTAGTACACTTCTGTGTGTCAGACTGTGTAGGCAGGCAGAGGTAGTTGGATGTATGCTTTCCACGCCTTCCTGCAGACTAAGACAGCATTTCAGGTGTAAGCTCTGCCCCTTCATTAATGTAACCATTACTACTCCTTTTTAGAAATATTTTTTAATGCACCTGTCACATGTCCACACTAGAGGGTGTTTTAGTTCTGTTAAGCCAGTTGCATTCAAGATAAATAATAGAGCTTGACTCAGGGCAAAAAAATGTTTGCCCATGCAGTGCGGGCTGTGCCCACAATGCACATGTCAACTGCTCTATTCATCTAGGGGTGAGAAAAAGCTTATACTCACCCGATCCTTTGTTCCACCATAAAACAGCTCTCTCCCACGGTCCAATGGTGGACTGATCCTGGCCTATGGAACCTGCTCTGGGCTTGATTATATCAGGAACAGTCCACCACACAAGACCTCTTGACTGCAGGGGGTGGGGACACAGGAGCCACAGGGACCGATCTTGTGCTGGGAGGATCGGATGATTAGGTAAGTATATCTTATTTCTCCACTCCCCTAGACAACACCAAGCAGTTGACCCATGCAGTGAAGGCACAGACCCACCGCTTGGGAAAAAAAAATTTTTTGCCCAGAGATGGGCTTTAAACTATAAGAGCAGCTTATCACTGATCTGCTGTGCAGTGTACCCCCTAAAGTTCAGCTAACCTGCAAAAAAACACAGCACTGCAGCCAAAGAACAATGGATCAGTGTGAAGGCACCCTAAGATACATACAGGGAGCCCAGTATAGCTTTACAAATAGCTCTATTTTCATCCAGACAAAACTGTAATGCATCAGACCATCGCATTCCCTTTTGTCTATATCCTTGTGATCCTGGAACTCAGCAGCTCATGGTGCTGGAACACTCACCTAATTCTCCTTCCTGCCTCTCACACAGAGAAGGCTTGTTTTTAACAAAAACTTGCTAGTACTAAAAAGATTTTCTAAATTACCAAACCTGCCTAGAAAATTTTAATGCGATTAAAGCCGAGAGAAAAGGTTACACAGCAACAACTTCTGGAAGTAAAATAACTGTAAATAGTGAAGCGCTATAAATCAAAGCCTATCTATTAAATAAAGATAAATATAATATATTTACTAGCCGTGCACACACATTAGTGCTCAGTGACAGATTATTGCAAACAAATAAATATCTCATTCCACAAGTATAAGTGAAACATGACCTTGAATAAGTGACAAAATACAAATAAATGTGAAGTGATTCTTTAAGAAGAAAAAATTCCAATGCTATTTATCAATATCTCTAAATATCTCTACTGTCATTTCTAGCACCTACCACAATTCCCTCTTGTAACTTCTGGAAGTACACTCCTACTGCTGCCTCTGATTCTGTATAGTGGTTTGTGTACTTTAATATTTTACATGGTGGCTATGTTCCTGGATAGCTGGCTTGATGCTTTTAAGTATCTGGAATTGCTCTTTAAAGGAGCTGCTCCCAATATACTTGCACACCACTGTATCGCTTCTGCTTAAATTTGTAAATCATGACCTCCCTTTGTAAATTGCACACTAACTGCCACAAAAAAGCTCTATAATATCAAAACAACAGCAACTGATTTTTAGAGGTTTTTTTTTCAATATAACAGTTTGTTAAATTTAACATATATAGCAACATATTTTGTCTGCCAAGTTAATGTGGAGCCAGCTGTACTGAGTTCTCATTTTAACAGGAGTATCTGAAATTTTAGAATAAATGCTTCTTCTCCATTAATTCTTTTGACATTGCCTCACTTTTAGTGACACCCATATATATCTATTAGTACGTTTTGTACATTTTTTTTTTTCTATTTGCGTAACATGCGTTCTTGTTTTTGTTTCCACTGCTGATTCCCACATCTAAGCAGATGTTGAGCTCAAATGGTCTGATAATTAAGCAAGGTCAGGTACTCAAAGTGCAGACTTTGCATTTCTGCTGTAATAACACACATGCTGATGTATTTTTTTTAATGTTGGATTTTGCAGGTGAGCCTGAACCTTTGGAGCAGCAAAAACAACAGATTATGAATGAAGAGGGCACCGAGCTGTTTTCATATAAAGGGAATGATGTGGAGTACTTTGTGTCTACAAGCTCTCCTTCTGGTTTGTACCAGCTGGAATTAATTTCAACAGAAAAGGACACCCATTTTAAAGTTTATGCTACTACAACTCCTGAGTCTGACCAGCCTTACCCAGAGTTACCATATGATCCAAGAGTTGATGTGACATCTCTAGGACGCACAACAGTTACATTAGCATGGAAACCAACTCCTACATCCTCTGTTTTAAAACAACCAATCCAATATTGTGTTGTTATCAACAAGGAACACAATTTTAAAAGCATGTGTGCAGTCGAAGCCAAGATCAATGCAGATGATGCTTTTATGGTAGCTCCTAAGCCTGGTTTAGACTTCAGCCCCTTTGACTTTGCCCACTTTGGATTTTCATCAGAAAATGATGCTGGTAAAGATCGCAATTTCATGTCAAAAACCTTATCCTCTAAAATAGTACGTCAAATAACTGCCAAACCAAAGCCTGACCTTCAAAAGGTATGCATTGGGAACAAAAACATATTTACAGTTTCTGATCTGAAGCCTGACACCCAGTACTACTTTGATGTGTTTGCAATAAACTCAGCCACAAATATGAGCACTGCTTATGTCGGAACATTTGCTCGAACCAAAGAAGAAGCAAAGCAGAAAACAGTAGAGTTGAAGGATGGAAAAGTTACTGATGTGTTCATAAAGAGGAAGGGCACTAAGTTTTTAAGATTTGCTCCAGTCTCTTCCCATCAAAAAGTCACTTTTTCAGTTCACTCTTGCCTGGACACTATTCAAATCCAAGTCAGAAGAGATGGCAAACTTCTTCTGTCACAAAGTGTAGAAGGTGTGCGCCAGTTTCAACTGAGAGGAAAACCAAAGGCTAAATACCTGATCAGGCTAAAGGGAAGCAAAAAGGGTGCCTCTATGCTCAAAATCCTGGCAACATCGAAATTTAACAAGCAGCCTTTCCCTTCACTGCCAGAAGACACAAGAATCAAAGCCTTTGACAAACTGCGCACATGCACTTCTGTTACAATAGCATGGCTGGGAACGCAGGAGAGAAATAAATATTGCGTTTACAAAAAAGAAGTGGATGATGACTACAACGAAGACCAGAAGAAACGAGAACAAAACCAATGTTTGGGGCCTGACATCAGAAAGAAATCAGAGAAAGTTCTCTGCAAATATTTCCACAGTCAAAACCTGCATAAAGCAGTCACCACAGAGACAATCAAAGGACTTGAAGCTGGGAAGTCTTACGTCCTGGATGTCTATGTCATGGGTCACGGAGGCCATTCAGTCAAATATCAAAGCAAACTCGTAAAAACAAGAAAGTTCTGTTAGAGTTCCTGTGAACTTGTATGACAAACATATCCTACAAGGAGCATACTTACTAACTACTTGTGCAGTCAAGCGGTTGTGACTTGTACACAGTACCTGTAACAGTGTAGAAAGGTATCAACTTGTATACTTCTGTTTACATATCAAAGTGGTTGCTTCTAAATGGTAATCCTGCTGCTTCTCCAGAACTGAAAGACGTATATACTTGTTATAGGTCTGAGACCTGATATCAGACACACACGGTAGATGAAGTAACAGTGGTAAAGGATACAAACGTACGAAGGACAACTTTGGTAGTGTCACACAGTGCATGAACTGCCTCTAAATTATTTTACTAAATACATGGCCAAGGCAAGTCCCCTGGTTCCATTCATGCTCGCACAATACAATCTAGAAATTATAGACTATGTGTAAATTATTTTATAAAGTCTTGTCTGAAATGTTTATGTTGTATGTAAACTACAAAATCATTCCTTACCTAATACAGATCAAATACTAAGTATTAACTGGACCTATCTTTATTCTTCTTAATTCTTTGCCTATTGTACATTCCTACTAGACTGGTTTATTTTTTAAATATGTATTGTATGTATAAAGTTGTCAAGCATATATTCCTGTACATAAAAAATTGAAAGTATAAAATTATATATTTCTTTTGCTTACTTGTTGTCTAAAATACTATATCAGAAAGAGTGACTGTTGTCTGTAAACAAGTTGTTAACTTGTTTTTAGTGTTTTATGTGTGCAAAATATATAAAGATATATAAGATATATTATAGTTATATAAAGATATATATAATTACAGTATAAAGTTAAAGGAGATTTGTGTAGCAAGAAAGGGTAGTAAAGTAAGGAACAAACAAAGCATATAAGCCAGCAGACACTCTTTTTGTGAATGACTTTAAAAAGGGCCACCCAGTATTGTGAATCAGCAGCATTAAAGGAAAGATGAAACAGACAATAACTGACAGTACTTTGTAGTTTAATCCACAAGCAAAACGAAAAGTTGCAGCTTTTTCAAGGTGGTGTTAGGATGACAAAATGTTATTAATGGAAGGCATTGTAATACTTTGTAAAGGCAGCATTGAGACAGACTTTTTTTGTCAGTGTTAACGTTTTATCACTCAACAAAAATAATTTCGCCAGATGTTGTGTAAATACAAGGCGAGATGCAGAATGTTGTGGATGCCACATAGTCACAGCACAAATTATAATGCAGGTGAATGATACCTACGGGCTAAACTTCTCAGGGGATTTTAATGTCACGCTACTCAACAATTTAACCTCTTGTCGCCCATCATGTCCTTTGTAACTCTTGGGGTTGATTTACTAAATTAATGGAGCACAATAAGTTAAGGATGTTCACTGAGCTTAGTAAATAAACTGAAGCTCAGTTCCCTTTAAATATGTTACAATTAAAAAAAAAAAATCAGTATTTTTGCTTGCACGTGATTGGATGATTGAAGTGGATACAGCTTCTCCATAATCATTCTGCTGCATTTTTTTTATTCAGCAAGTTGATCCATTTATAAAGTCTTCATGAACCTTTATTGATATTTTACCTCTCTTTGTTTTGCTGAAATAAAATTTATAAAGGTGGCAAATTTGAGAAAAAATCGAGTATGACTATTGCGATTTTTTTATCAACCTATAAGAAAGCCACTTCCCTGTTTTTCCAGTTTACCTGTCTGTAGATGGCTGCTTTCTAATTACATGGGAAAATGCTGGGCAATTTCACTAACAATATTAGCAAGGCAAGTCAAGGCACTGCAAACTCAATTCAGTTCACACCGCACTATATAATAGTCCCAATGCCCTGTACATGTGGTGATATCACCATTGGGTGTAACTAAAATATCCCATGTAGTTTCAGCCCTGAAGACAATAGAATACAGGGTTTTCTTATATTTGCAAAAGTAAGAGAATATTACTGTGAAAATCCCACCCAACAAGAGATTAGCTCAAATGAGTATTAAGGACATCTTTATACATACATAATAGTTATGGCTTTAAGATGTGTTTTTAATTAAGAGTGTGTAAAGGGTAACAATATGCAGTAGCATACAACAACCAGTTTTACCTAGAATTAATGCTTTCATCTAATAGTCAGTTGATTCTCTAGTTACAACACAACTCTTGTTCCCTTTGTTTTTTTTTTTTGTTTTTTGTTTTTTTGCTGTATATAAGACTGAAAAGATACAGAATGTCAACATGGCCAGCATAATGACATGGACATGGAGAGATGTTCCTTGCCTTAGAAGCTTGTGGATGTAAGGTCTTAAATCACGTGCTTGTCAGTTTTGCCATCAGATGTGTATTTTTGATTCATGAAGTGATCTTTTTGAGTATTGTTTGTACAGTTGTCATTTTGTTTTAAATAATTTCATATTTTCATTGTTGTCTCTTTCTTTTTGTATTTTCTATTTGTGTACAAATGCGTGATTACCAGGCTGTTTGGCCATTTATATTTTGAATATGTAAAATAAATAATACCATTATTTATGCTGTTTTTATATTTTTTAATTGAATATTGAAGAGAAATATTTATTTGGTATTGAAATAAAAATATAGTACATCCAGAAATTATTCACAGAGCTTAACTTTTGCCACATTTTGTTATGTTACAGCCTTTTTCCAAAATGGATTAAATTCATTTTTTACCTCAACATTCTACAAATAATACCCCATAATGACAACGTGACAGAAGTGTGTTTTAAAATCTTTGCAATTTATTAAAAATAAAAACAAAATAAACCACATGTACATAAGTATTCACAGCCTTTGCTCAATACTTTGTTGAAGCCCCTTTAGCACCAATTACAGCCTCAAGTTGTTTTGAGTATGATGCTACAAGCTTGGCACACCTATTTTTGGGCAATTTCTCCCATTCTTCTTTGTAGTACCTCTCAAGCTCTATCAGGTTGGATGGGGAGCGTCGGTGCTCAGCCATTTTTAGATCTCTCCAGAGATGTTCAATCCGGTTCAAGTCTGAGCCACTCCAGGACATTCACAGAGTTGGCCCATAGCCACTCCTTTGTTATGTGGGCTGTGTGCTTCGGGTCGTTGTCCTGGTGAAAGATGAACCGTCGCCCCAGTCTAAGGTCCAGAGCGCTCTGGAACAGGTTTTCATCAAGGATGTCTCTGTACACTGCTGCATTCATCTTTCCTTCAATCCTGATTAGTCTCCCAGTTCCTGCCACTGAAAAACATCCCCACAGCATGATGCTGCCACCACCATGCTTCACTGTAGGGATGGTATTGGCCATGTGGTGAGCGGTGACTGGTTTCCTCCAGATATGATGCTTGTCATTCAGGCCAAACAGTTAAATTTTTGTTTCATCAGACCAGAGAGTTTTGTTTCTCATGGTCTGAGAGTCCCTCAGGTGCCTTTTGGCAAACTCCAGGCGGGCTGCCATTTGCCTTTTACTGAGGAGTGGCTTCCGTCTGGCCACTCTACCATACAGGCCTGATTGGTGGAGTGCTGTAGAAATGATTGTTCTTCTGGAAGGTTCTCCTCTCTCCACAGAGAAACGCTGGAGCTCTTTCAGAGTGACCATCGGTTGCTTGGTTACATCCCTGGCTAAGGCTCTTCTCCCTCGATCACTCATTTTTGCCGGGCGACCCGTTCTAGGAAGATTCCTGGTGGTTCCAAACTTCTTCCATTTATGGATGATGGAGGCCACTGCACTCATTGGGACCTTCAATGCTGCAGAAATTTTCCTGTACCCTTCCCCAGATCTGTGCCTTGATACAATCCTGTCTCAGAGGTCTACGGACAATTCCTTGGACTTTATGGTTTGGTTTGTGATCTGACATGCACTGTTAACTGTGGGACCTTATATAGACAGGTTTATGCCTTTCCTAATCATGTCCAATCAACTGAATTTACCACAGGTGGACTCCAATCAAGTTGTGGAAACATCTCAAGGATGATCAGTGGGAATACGATGCACCAGAGCTCAATTTTGAGTGTCATGGCAAAGGCTGTGAATACTTATGTACATGTGGGGGGTTTTTTTTTTGTTTTTTAATTTTAAGAAATTGTAAAGATTTCAAAACGAACTTCTTTTTTTGTAGAATGTTGAGGAAAAATATGAATTTAATCAATTTTGGTATAAGGCTGTAACAACAAAATGTGGCAAAAGTTAAGCGCTGTGAATACTGTCTGGAAGCACTGTATGTAATAACTTAAAGCAGAGTTCCACCAAAACATGGATGCTCCACTTATCTGCCTACTCCCTCCCTCCACTGTGACATTTGGAACCTTTTGGGGGGGAGAGGGGAGCAGGTACCTGGTTTTGACAGGTACCAGCTCCCACTTCTGGCTCATTTCACCACAGTGAACAGTTCCCTGCGGCTCTCTGGGAAACTTAACAGTTCATCCATTCACAAAGTGCACCACACTTTGCACATACACAGTAGGAAACCAGCTGTGAATACGCAGAGCTTCACTGCCAGTTTCCCTTAGTCAAGAAGTCAGCTCCAGCACCCGACAGCCGATTGAAAAATTGGCTTGGGATGAGGATACCGCTGGATGCCTGGACAGGTAAGTGCCCTAATATTAAAAGTCAGTATCTACAGTACCTGTAGCTGCTGATTTTTTTTGGGGGGGGGGGGGGGGGGGCGGAGCCGAACTCCACTTTAAGTACTGTATATACTTAAGTAAGTATTGCTGTAAGTAATAACAAGTGCTGTAGCTGCTGACTTTTAAAGTCCATGGAGTCTAGTGTTGCCTTAAGTGACTCTCTAGAGTATTTTCCTTTGCTCCTCCCCTGGAAGCTTCAAAAATGTAATGTACGGAGGGGAGCGGTGGTGGAGCTCGGCCAGCACAGACAGTAAGTAGACGCTGCCAGGAGAGAGCTGAAACCGTAGATTGAGTTTTCTCAAGAAAGACCCAGGAATAATACACTCTAAATAAATAATAGGCAGCCCTCCAAACAGCTATCTTTTCAAGTTTCATATATTTATGAAAGGAAACATCATATAAAGACACTAAATTGTAG